CCTTTGTCTCTCTGCAAGTCTGTAAGTATAAAAGAACATTACAAAAAGTCATACAGGTTGCCATCAATATCCTTATCGTCAGCACTACATACACACCTAGCCTGAGGAGGAAGAGATGTTAAAATCAACTTGAACTTTAAGTGACATTTTTTCCCAAACAAGTACATAAATAACTGCTGCATGAATGAATGTAATTACACAATGTGGTAATGAGACAATCCTCAATTGAATTCTCAAAGTAAATTTCAAGACAAACCTTAAATAAAGTTTTACAAACACTTCTTAGAGAGAGTCAAAGGATATACAAACTCAGATTCCCCAAGCAGTAAGGCTTTTATGAAGCAAAAGTTAAAAAACAATCAGTGAAGAAATCTAAATACTAATTGTCATGACCTGTATCTAGATGTCCCTCCAAAGCCTCATGTGGTCATAGGTGGCATTTCTAAGAGGTGGCTGGACCTGGAATGTGTGGTGCTAGAATTAAGTGTGTGATACTAAAATGTATGTGATTACTAAATTAGTCCACTGATGGGTGGGCCATAGTTCTCGGTGTGGATCACGGCCCAACATGAGGGTGAGTGCCATCTGCCCTAAGGTGAATAGCCTGGATAGAATGTAAGAGACAGAAAGAGGGCTGCTGCACATGCTTGCTGCTTGCTGCTTTTGCTGCCTCCTGCCTTCCACACCATGAATTATTTCTCCTCTGCAATGCCCCTCTGCCATGCCACCCTGCTTTGCAGCCAGCCAACTAGGAGTTGAAACCTCTACAAACTGTGAGCTACAGTAAATCTTTCTCCTTTACCTTTTGGCATCTGGTATTTTATCTTAGAAATAAGAAAAGTATCTAAGACATCAGTTGAAAAGATGTTCTCTTCCACAATTTCATTAGTTTATTTTTAAACCATTCAATCTGAGGCTATTAATTATCTTTGGAAGTGCCGTCTGTCCTCTTTAGTTATTATTTGAGGTTTTAATAATGTTTATCCACCTGCTATGTCTTTTCCCATCTAGTAGATTCCCCATTTCTTTCTCATTTGTCCTATTTCCCACTTACTCTGAAATTATTTCCCAATTACTCACTTCTAAATAAACAAACTGTTTTTAAACCTAATGAAGGCTCTATTCATGCAATTTTTGGACAATGAAGCAAAGCTATTATGAATTTTCACATTAATTTTTAAGGAAGTACATTGTTACTAAATGAGATTATGGTAACAGACATGAAGAATACTCAACTATCATTTAGTACTGCCTAGAAACCACACCAAACTTCAATGTTATTACAATAGGGAGAATTACCTTCGTACCTATGTATCAGCTGTGGTTAGGGTGGGTTCACTGAGCTTGGCTCTAGGTTGCAAAATTATCGAGGTATGTCCCATGAGTGCCTGCCCAAGGAACATTCCTCCTGTGATGGACTTCAGGAAGGTCATGCAGTGAACCCAAGGGCACAATCACATCTCAAGCGTTTGCTCATGTCATACCCACTAGCATCCCATTGGCCAGAGTAAGTCACATGATCAAGTCCAAAGTCAAGAAACTGAGCCAAGACTGCTGAGAAGGAGGTTGTGATAGATATTTCATAGTACTGGGGAGACTAATATTGAGATTTACCACAATATCCTAGAAATACCCATTTCTGGGACTTAGGGGGATAGGTTGTTAGTATTTGAATTTTTGAATTTTTAAAATTTTTCTCTCGGGGCTGGGGATTTAGCTCAGGGGCAAAAGCGCCTGCCTGGCAGGCGCAAGGTCGTGAGTTCGGTTCCTGGTACCGGAGAAAAACAAAAAACAAAAAACAAAACAAAACAACAAAAAAATTTTTTTTCTCTCTACTTATTTTCTATCCTCCCTCTTATTTTTCTACCAAGGTAAAGAAAGATCTCAAATATCAGAGGTAATAGAGAATGCTGAGTAGTTCAGGCTCTGAGGTCAGACTCACTGAGTTTTAACCCTTGTTCTACTATTTCCTAGATTTATAACCTCAAGCAACTTTTTCTATGTCTTGGTCTCATCTCTAAAGTAAGGTTTATAATGCTAACTACCTCACATAAGTTATAAAGATTAGATGAAATTTAAAGCTCTTACAGCATGGCTAGTGGGGCTGGGGATATAGCTCAGCAGCACAAGCACCTGCCTGGCAGGTGCAAGGTCCCGAGTTAGACTGTCAGTACTAAAAACAGCACTGCTAGCAAAAGCAAGCAGTCAATAGTTAGCTACTTCATGGAGGGATTATAAACAGACTTAGATCAGAGTTAAATGTTTTTATCTTGTTTCACTGTATCCTTGAACCTCTTGTTTTTCCTAGTGAATATTCACTTTCTTTCTTCCTACATATATACCTTGATGAGACTAGCCAGAAAAAAACAAAGAAAACCCACTGAGAAAGGAACCTGGGTTCTTATGTAGCTGTAGCTCTTTTCCTGAGATGTACACAGGAGTTCTTTGCTGACATGGTCTTTCTCTTAATAGTTGGGATCCTGTGAAAAATATTTTCTGTGTACAATAACAACCGTAGTAATTTGAATGCTTACATTGAGCCAAGAACTGTAAGCAGTTTACATGTTTTATCTTACTGAACCCTCCTAAAGACCCTAGGAGGTGAATAACATTAGTGGCCCTTTTAGGAATGAAGACAATTAAAGGTTAATTAATCAGTCCCAGGACTCAAAGTGAGCAAGCCAAGTTTGCATTGAAATACATCTGAGAGTCTCTTTGAAATAGTAACTTTCACTCTTCAAAATGGAATATAGCTTCTAATTACGTTTTCTGAACATAAGCACAAAATAGGTAGAATGTTGTAGTGTTTCATGTAATCCAAGTATAAGAAGGAAAAAAAAAATCACTTTGACAGTCCAAGAATTTAATTTTATCCTTATTTACCAGGGAAAATCAGGATTAAAGTTTTCTTTCAGGTACTAGAACTTCCCCAAAGGGAACCAAATCAAGGGGTCCAATTGTTTCGCAGCTGAGTTCCTCTGAGCACGGTGGTTTCCCCAGGTCAGAATAAGTGGTTTGCAAACCCCTAATGGAGTCCAAATCCCACATTTTGTACAGAACAGAGAGACCCAGGAATGTGAAAGAACCTGTCTGGTATCACATTGCTAGGAGAAGATCTGGTGTTAATATTTAGATATCATAATTAAAGACCAGGACTCTTTCAATCACAGTGCAATTCATGAGTTTTAAAAGATTACAAGGGAAGAAAACCATATTCATTTATTAAATAATTAGTGCTGGGCACTTTCTAAATTGTCTCAGCTGAGGGTTTCTTCCAATCCTCACTCATGTCCCAACGTATTGCTAAGATTATGTCACTACACCCAGGGCCATCGTGAGTACAAAACAGGTACCCACAACACTTCTGGGGCATGACAGGGAGGACACAAAACACATACAAATTTATTTATTTATTTATTTATTTATTTTTATTATTATTTTTTTTTGTTTTGTTTTTCTCCGGTACCCGGAACCGAAGTCATGACCTTGCGCTTGCCAGGCAGGCGCTTTTGCCGCTGAGCTAAATCCCCAGCCCAACACGTACAAATTTAGCGGCTCCCTCTGTTTTGCAGCACGGTGGTCTGAATCACATTCCGCCCAAATACAAAAACTCGAATCACAGAAAATGAATGTTCTCATACCCTCTCCATTGATTTTATGATGCTTTTACTGTATTTTTAAAAAGGGAGCCTTTTTCCCTGGAGCATTTTTTCAGATTGATTTGCAAACTGTAATAAGCCTCCATAAAGAAATCTGAAAATATCTTGCTACAAAAATTCAGGATATTAGCTTCGCTTCGGTTTTCTTCTTTAGTTGGAGAGCAGGTGCGAGATCTGAGAGTCTGTTACAGGTAATGGCAACTTCGTATTAGTTTTCCTTAGGTATGTATAACATTCATCTCAGTTTCAAAAGACCTCAAAATCTTGTTACTTGCAGGTTTATTCTTTGCATTTTATCTATTTGTAGGGCCTGCCAGCTATATTAAGTGATATTGTAGTCTGTACATGAAATAGAAAGCTATCAGCTTAAAATAGACTATAGTATTGCACTTTTATTAAAAGATGCAAGTGTATTTTCTTCTAGAGGCCGTGACTTACAATAACGACTGTTATCAATATGCAATTACTTCTGTTACCTTGGAATGTGTTGACATTCATTTATTTAAAGATACTGTAACACATTTGTATTCATTGAGATAATCTATGGATGTGATTAAATATGGATGCCCATCTTATACTAAGCAACAAAATGAAAAAAAATTGCATTCAGAGCTTTTGCAGTGCTAAAAATAGATCATATCAAATTGAGAAAATTGCATTATGGCTTATTTCAAACACAATTGCAAGTTATTATAAGGAAACAAAATCACAACTTGGATAACTGCTATGCCAGAGCTTTCGTTCTACCCAATAATGAGACATTAGAACTAGCCTAACAGGGCAAGTGCTTCCATCAGAGAGCATCACTGACTATTCACTAGTGATTACTCATTTATCTCCATTACAGTAGATGGGTACAAAGAGCGGGTCAGGCAACAGCTAAGACATATCACTGAAGTGATCATAATTGGACACGATGCCATGGAACAAACCATATTAATATTAACTAAAGAATATATTTGGTGGAATATTAGAAACACAGCCTAAAGATTAACTTTATGTCAGAATTTTCTTCTTTTAAATGTTCTAATTCATAGAGCTGCTCACTGTTAGGTAATCAATCATTAATTAATTTTCAGAGATTCCTATCTATGAGCAAAAAAGAAGTGGGTATTAAAAGTGTATGGAAATGCAAAAAAAGTCATTTTAATGCAGTTACAACCTTTTTATGCTTTACCAAAAATTATTTTGAGAATATCACCAGAAATCTATTATCATCCATCAAAAATAAGAATTTTCTTATAAGTGGCTCTAATTAATGTCCCTCTTGGAACTTGAGAACAAACCTACTTTTATTCCATGCCACCCCAAATGTTTTCTCTCACCATTATTGGTCTTTACCTTGAGTGCATTAGGGCTCTTTTGTTCCAAAGTTAATGCCAGCTCTTCTAGGTAGGATTTTCTGTAGTAGAAATGATTAAGTAGCATCAGTAGGTCAAAAAAGTCATTTTCAGATAAACGACAAAGTTGCTGGAGAGATGAAAAATTACATTTCATCTGCATTAAATAGTTAAAAAGTATTCCATATGTGACAGACTTTCTTCCATGTTGCTGTTACTCTAGGATAATAATGAAAAGGAAAAATTTACATATTAACATGTAAGTTCATTTTACTTTCATCATCAGAAAACTTACAGGCTCTAAAATGTGCAAAACATTGTCTAATCTAAAACCCATTCATTCAATAAAAGTATGCCCTGATAAGTTTAACTAATATCTAATTCTTATGATTCTTCTTTCCATAGCATTTTGATTAGAAAACCACTATTACTTGGTGAGAGGTACAGAAGTAAAAGTCAGGGCTTATATATGATAACTCATTTCATTCTTCCGCGTTTTTAGTTATGGAGCTTTGATTCAAAGGATCCACCTGAAGCCCCCAGCCTTCAGCCTGCACTTAGGTCAGGGTAGGGGGGAGAGAGTAGAGGTCCAGGCAGCCTCCTGTGCTGAGCCGCTAAGTCATGGGAGCAGGAATTGGCAGCTTACGCCTCCATTCCATCTTCCTTCTAGCTGCAGATGTGAAATCTGCACTTCCCACATCCTCCAACCATGCTCACAGTATAAAGTAGGATGTGTGAGTGGGAAGATGACAGTGACACAGGAGTCCTCTGCCTTCCTCTTCTCTTTCTGGCCAGGAAACAAAGTTCCGGTCTTAAGAATCCCTTCTGCATCCTAGGGGTTTGGAGGTAGCAGAGACACCTACTACTGATTCTGCCTTTCTCTTCTCAGGTCACAGCTACAGGGTGTGTCTTGGCATCATAGAACTGGTGGAGGTCAAGGAGGTAGTAGCTTCATTTTCCTGGGGAGGGAGTCATTTCGGAAATCTACTGTCCACTTTTAGTTGGCATCTGCTCTCCTGTATGAACTCCCATTTTCCTTAAAACACCATTTCATTTCTTCACTGAGTCCTCATCGATATACACAGCCTGTCCTTCCAAGCAAGGAGAGAAGTCATTTCAGAGAAGACTTCACTAGCGGCAAATTCGTTCTTTTCAAATACAAAAATACTTCACAGTTATATCTACCTTCCTATTATTTATAAAACATAGGTATATTTCATTTACTTCACTACATATTTATAAACCATATATAGATGTAGAAATCTATTTAAAATATACTATACACATTATAAATTTTATATATATATATCTTCTACATTAGTAGGAGATTATGCAGAGAAAGCTTTTCTTGATCTTTTCAACAAACAAAGGAAATAGCAAAGAATTTGCACAGTAAAAAGCAAGACATTGTAAGTATCTAGTAAAAAAAAAAACCTCTAAGTTATTACTACAGTACTATTTCAGCCTGTTTTAATCTTTGCGTCTTTCTGAGATTTCTTTGGAATCATTCCTAATTCTGAAGGACGCTTTTTGAAAAGCACAACTTTTATCCAGAATATGAAAATTATGTTTAGTGCAAGCAGCAAAATTTCTTGACTCTTTTCTTTTGTGTATTTTGGCAGTGTGTATTTTAAAAGAGAAAATGCTAGACTATTAAAGTGTAAATTTACAAATAAATGTCAATGTAAATAAAATTCAATATGCTATAAGGGTAATTGGCACACTTACATAAGTATAAAATATAAAAAATTTAGGGCTACATTTGTGTTATTTCAATGGATGCTTTTCCTCATGTAAGAAAAGATGTGCTCATGAATAATTTGTATCCACATTATATTACCATGGCTTTGTTTGCAACCCAGCCAGTTTAATAAAAACTAGACAATAGAAAACAAAACCAAAAATGTTTTGTAGGAAGAACAGTGGCTGTTCTAAAAAGTCTTATCTCTTCTCGGACCCATCTATGGCTTCAGCTGTCCTTTTATTGCTCTATAATTACTTTGATCCACTGAGTTTTATGAAATTACACATTTTTAAACAGGCATGTCATATTCCTTTCAGTTTCATTTCAGCTTACACTGCTAGAATGAAGTCTCCTCTTTTGTCGGGTAGCATTTGCTATGGAACATGCTCAGATTCAACCCAGGAAAGTTAATTGCCAGCCAGCACGGCTGCACTTGAACTTTATCAGTGAAAGAGTCCCGACTAGGTGTCTGGATACCCTGGTCAAGTTTCTATTCTGAATGACCTTGTACGAGCAGTCAGTTCTCAAGTTCTGTATTTCCTCACCTAAAAAACAAAGACCTTGGCTTCAAGTATATAGGACTGCTTCCAGCAACAGAGTCTATTATTCCAGGGCATATTTTGCAAATGTCAGATATAATCTATGAAGTGTAGTCACGCATGCCACGAAGGGGAAAGTAGCTTTTGCAACAAGTACAAGTATCACCCAAATGGGTCAACATTTACAGAAGAAAAGAACCACTGTAACTGATGCCACAAGAGATAATAAATCCCCAGCCTTAGGGAGGGCAAATCAAGTGAATATTTCAAAGTATTAAGTGCATAAAGCAAGGATCCAAAAGACAGATTCTTAAGCACAGGTTACAAGAGGTGAAATGGCATCAAAACTATGAAAGTCAGAGGGAGCTAGTGACAAAGGTTTCCTAGAGGCGACTGTGCTCCAAGGAATCATCAGGAGTAAAGCTTGTGTTCTGAAAGGGAGGTGAGGGCTGAGAGCCGAGGTAGAAGGTGTGAAGGCACAGAAGCATACACAGATATTTAAAATGCAGGAGCAACTGTCAGAGTCAAATGTACCTAGTTTCCACCCTACTGAAAAGATACCTTTCCTCCGTGTGAGGAAACTAGAACTTCAGCTCCTCAGGTTCATTTGCACCAGGACCATCTTGGCCAGAGGGATGATCTCTCTGCAGTATTCTAGCTCTTCTCCGATTCCTGGGATCCCTTCAGTCCTGTGTTTCTACCCTGTGATCTGCCTGTCTGGGTAGTCAGATCCAAGGGTAGTTCTGATCCAAGGGTTCCCAAATGCTTCTACAGAGCTCATCAGAGAGTGGCAAATAGACTGTATATTGCTCTGCCTCAAGTACTGTTTACTTAGTTCATATGTGACTTCCCATAATGTCATTAGCATGAAGTTGAGATGACCAAATGCCTGCTCATGTCAAAAAGTCACTCTTAATGAACCCTCTGCGTTTACAGGAATTCCCATAGCTGCTCTTGACATACCCCCCTTTTGTGGTAGCAAGAATGTAAACCTTCTAACGTTCTAGCAAGATTCTTTATCTGTCTTAACCCCTTTGAGTCATGGAATTAATCCATTCTAATTCGATTCACCACACCTGATATTTTACTCCTCTAATAAAACATACTTTTTACAGTACTGGGGATCAGACCTAAGGCTTTGTGCATGGTAAGCAAGTGCTCTACCACTGAGCTACATCCCTATCCCCACTACTCTTTTGATAGGACTATCCAATAAGGAGATTTGTTCACCATGGAAGACTGAAGAGGAGCAGCAGACATTGTTGTGCATGAATTTGTTTTCGTTACAGATTGATAACAAATCTATGACAAAATCTACATTTCAAGAAACATTTAGTAGCTATCAGTGTTATGGGTGGGTGTTGATAAATCAAGTGTGAAGCCAGTTGGTGGCTATTCTTGGCTTCTACACATAAAATAAAGAGATCCACTGAGGCTGGACTGATGAGATAAAAATAACAAGAAAATGTAAATCCATAGTATATATGTCAATAAATGTTAAAACTACTAATAATGCATTCGACTGCTGAGGAATACTAAGAAGATGTAGAGTTATAATACCAGAGGACTAAAGATGCTCACTCTTACAAGCCAAATGGAGAAACAGCTAAGGATATCAGTGGAAGGAAGGAAGGAAGGAATGCAACATCTGCCCATTCTTTCTAAAATTTTCTGCAAACTGACTAAGTGCAAGGTCTTTCACTAGACCCTAAGAATAGCATAGTTGCTAAGGCAACCCTTCATATAGCTTGCAAACTACCAGCATATGATTTCTTTTTCCGTACGATTGTTAAGTAATCAGTTCTTGTTTAAAAGTACTACATTAGGAAAGTTCAGCTCTTACAGGACAGGGATCTAATCTAGTCTGATATCAAAGACCTAGAAAGTATATATGAAAAAAATTTACTAGGAAGAGCAATGCATTCAAATGAAAGTTATTTTCAGTGAAATGTGAGGTGTTTGTGAGAAACAGAATTATTGTTGAGTGATTTTGCACCAGACTCTTCATGTATACCATCCATTCAGCTAGTATAAGAGCGTTCCCAGTCCATAAATCCAGAAACTGCACTTCGAACACATGATATAGAACATGGCAGCAGGGCAGGTAAGTCCCAAAGTTGCAATTTTCCCTGAGCCTGACAGCCACAAATGCCCTGCTCCTAGCACATTAGGCAAAGGGTTTCCTTTTATTCTGAAAGAATCTACCTCCATCGACACTCCCTTTAACACAAGCTCCACTCTGAGTAAATCCAATTCTTCCTCTTTTTGACAGCTTTTAAAATATTTAAAGGCGCAATTACATTTGCCAACCTAACCTTCAGTCTTACACCACATCGTAAGAATATATATGTTTGCATGTGCAAACATAATCACAAGCACGGCGAGCTCACGCATCTCCTTTGCCTTATTTGTTCCTGTTGGTGAGGCACTAAGTCATATCACGTTGAGATAGGACCTGACTCCAAGTAGGAAACTATGTATTTGTCTCAGAGCTCTGCCCCATCCCCTTGTACAGTCCCCAGTCTCTTTCAATCTCCTCCAACCTACATTTTATCTCCTTCACTTCCCTTACTGTTATGCGCTAGAGCCTTCTGTCATTGGTTATTGATGAGCATTTGTCACAACCTTCACTGCCAGTTCCTTATATCCTTTCGCCCCCATCTTTCACCTCTGTTACCTGACATGTGTAATTCTCTCCCTTGCCTCAACAAGCTTCTCAACTGCCATTGCTTACTCATTAGCTCCCTCAAGGTTCTGCCCCTTTCTTGAGTTAAACTCCTATAAGCTAGGCTGAACTTTCTGTGCCAGAACTATTACATTTATTTCAGTCTATTTACATCCAGGTTCTAATTATAATCTACGAGTAAAATGTGGAGTGAACTTTGAGATAGAAAACATCGGGTGAGTCTGTACTGGAGAAAACCTCTGTTTTAAAGCTTGGCACTCATACATGAACAATCAGACCACTTTCTCCATTTTATTTAAAAAAATATAGATCATACACATTATTGTCCTATGCTTATGAGAAGTAATGATCATTGGTTTGAAACAATAAACCACATAAAATGACAATCTTTGGGGAATATTTAAAATCCTGTCAAATGCCTGTAGAACAAATGGGTGTATGATTTCTAAACATTGATTTTAGAGTCACTTTCATCTTGTAAAGTCAGGGACTTATTCGGTCCCGTTGCATATTGAATCCCATTAACGTTAATATAAAACATAATGAACCTCATGATCTGGAAGGAAGGAATGAAAAGTTAAAATGGGGGAAGCCTAAATTTCTGTTGCCTCTAAATGAACAAATTCTACTAGATGATTCATTACACCAGAAGCAGCCCATTTACGTTACACTGAATATCACCAGTAGCATTTTTTCATATCAAAGTCACTATTAACCAGTGTTAAACATACACCTTGACCATTGTGGGGAGCCAAGGCTGATTTTATGAGTGTTTTCTCACATTTGACACACATGCTTGTTCCACTTCCGAGAAGACAAAGTGCTGGCTTTAGGAAATTCACAAGATACAAGTGGTTCTACTGCTGTGAAATAATTTCCTTATTCTTCTTATTTTTTTATTTTTATTTTTGGTCTTTTTTTAGACAGTTTCTCACTCTGCAGTGCAGGCTGGCCTTGAATTCACTTTGTAGCCCAGGGTGGCCTCGAACTCATAGTGATCCTTTGCCTCAGCTTCTCAAGTGCTGGGATTACATGCGTGCACCACCTCTCCCGGCTGTGACTATAGTTTTCAATAAAAGACCAGACACACAAAGCACATGGGCACTTCACAGACAACTGAATCCATTTCCTCTAAATTGACACTTGGCTTTCTTTTTCTACTTTGTATTTTCTCTCTTTTGAGTGGTAAAACAAGTAAGCCTGAGACTCCCATCCTTGGCAGAACACGATGAGTACAGGAGAACCACTCGTCCCTATATTAGAGTTCCTGACTTGTCACATGAAGAGTTGCTTTGCTTTCAGAAGTATCAAAGAGAGAGCACTTCAGACGTTCCTACTCCACTCACTCCCCCCTCAAAATAGAACTAATAAAAGCAGCACTGGCTCCCTGTAACTGTTAGGGTGCACACTCAGCACTGATTAATCATGACTTTGATATGAAAAATGATGTTTGTTTTAAAATCTCTGACTTTTGCATCACTACTCCTGCTCTATGATCAAATGTATACCAATAAATTAGATATAATGGACAAATTCATAGAAAGACACAAACCACCAAATTTGACTCAAGAAAAAGTAAGGATTTTAATAGGCTAATAAGAATAAATAGATTGTATTCAAGATTTTAAAACTATCCACAAAGAGAAGCCCAGTCCCAAATAGCTTCCTTGATAAACGCTACTAAACATTTAAAAGAAAATTAATACTAGTTTTTCATAAAATTTTCCAAAACATTGAAGAAGAGGAAACACTTTGAAACTCATCTTATGAGGTCAATATTACTTGTTACTAAGACCAGACAAAACATTACAAGAAAATCACAGACCAATATCTCTTATGAGCATACCTTTGAAAATCTTTACCAAAATTCTAGCAAACCAAATTCAACATAAAAAATTTATACGTAAAGATTAAGATTTATTCTAGGAATTTGGGTAGATTTAATATCCAAAAAATAATTAATGTAATACATTATACTTATAGAACAGAGAACATAATTCACGTGACAGCTTTTATTGACTAAGAAAAAAACATTTGGAAACAATTCAACACTTTTATGATAAAACTTTGATAATAAGAAAAGAACTTAACCTGGTAAAAGGTATCTATTCAATCCCTACCAAAGTCACAAAAGTTTTTTTTGCAGAAATTGGCAAGCTGACCCTAGAAACAATACTGAGATGTATGGGACCCAAAAGAAACAAATAATCTTGAAGAACAGAGTTGGAAGATGTATATGTTCCAATTTTAAAACTTACTACACAGCACAGGAAGCTGGCCAGTGTGCTACTGGTTTAAAAATACATGGAGACCAACAGAACAGAATTCAAAGTCCAGAAATAAATCCTTATATTTACAGTCAATTGATTTTTCCCTGTATGTGTCCAAACAATTCAATGAGAAGGAGTACTGTTTTCAACAAATGATGCTGAAAAAATAGCCACATTAATAATAATAACAATGATAACGATAATAATAATAATAATAATAATAAAGTTGGACTCTTTATATCTTAATCCCTTCAAGCTGCTACAACAAAATACAAAAATGTGGGTAGTTTATAAACAAGAGCAATTAATTTCTTACAGTTCTGGAAGCAGGAAGCTGAAGAGTAGGGTTGTCTTGGTTACTTTTCTCTCATTGCTGAGACAAAATACCCAACACCCAAAATGAAGGAAGGAAAGGTTTATTTAGCTTACAGTATGTGGAGGTTTCAGTCCATACTTGGCTGGCTCTGAGGCACAAGGCAGCAAAGCAACAAGAGCACAGGGGAGAATGGCAGCCAAACAGCAAAGCAGCCAGAGCAAAAGGGCAGAATGGCAGCAAGCAGCTTCTTTCCCTGCCTTACTTTGTAAACAGGCTACCCCCACCTAAGGGGTGTGTAGCTTCCACATAATTTCCATGCCCTCCTCTTCCACAGGCTCAGGATGTATACAAAGTAAGCACCCTGGCTTCCTGCTGAGTCACTTAGCCAAACCTCTAGACTCCCCAAGTTGACACAATGTATCAACCATAGCAAGGGTTCTAGCCAAGTTTGGTTCTGCTGAGAGCCTTTGGGGCTTTGCAGATTGTCAACGTTTTGCTATGCCCTCACACAGTGGAAGTGCCAGGTATTCCCCTGGTGCTCCTTCATGAAAGTACTCATCTCATTCATGAGGGATCTGCCTTCAAGACCTAGTCTCATCCCAAAGGCTCTACCTCCTCCACATACCATGACCTTGGAGAATAGGATTTTAACACAGTATTAATTTTAGTAGATTATAAACATCTTTGTATGGAGCAAAGACCTAATTATAGGGGCTAAAACTATGAAATTCCTAAAGAAAATGCAGATAGAAATCTTTATAGCCTTGGGATAATTAATAGATTTTTTAAAATGTGATATTCATACCTAAAATGACTAAAGAAAAAAATTGATATATTGGACTTCATCAAAATTAAATATATTCATGCTTCAAAACACCTTTCAAGATAGTAAAAAGACAACCCACAGAATGGGACAAAATGCTTACAAATCACATCTCTAATACGAAACTCCTGTTCTGGTGTGTCTGAATGATTGATATGTAAGGTATAAATGGAGGAAAACCCACCATTGGTTGGATGGTATCAACCAATAGGATTGTAGCCTGTATGGAATAAAAAAGGAAAGAAGGAAGTCTTCCATTTTTCTTCAGAGGAGCTCTGGTCTTTGCTATTACCTTTTGACATTTGTCTCCAGTTCCTTCAGGTTTGTAGCACAAACACTTCAGTCTTCCAGTGCAGACCTTTCTGCTTTTGAAAACCATCTTTCACCAGACTCTGAAATGAGCTTCAGGCACTTTCACAGCATTACATACTTTCAGGGGCATACTGCCTGGTCTTTCAGGCCTTCTTCTAAAGTCTGGGTAGAACTTCCCTCACCCCACAACTCTTCCATTCTACATGCCTATAAAACCACCACCATGTGAATGATTCCAAGATCTTCCACAAGTTCACACAGTAGCCAGAACCCCTTGAATCATGGTTGCAGAAGCCTCTGAATGATTGCGCACTATAACCCAAATCTGGGGAACCAATTATCTAGGCATTACCTCTTGACCCAGGGGCCCCAGGGCTCTCTTCTGGAAGCAATGTCTTACAGTCTTGCAAACTTGAGTCTTCAAAGGGTGGATCTTGTTAATTCAAATCTTTTTCCTATTTTACTAATCCAAAGTACTTGACTTTATTTTAATTCTAATCTTTTCCTCAACCAAGCTCTTCCCTGGTCCATCTTTGTAGGAACTTTCTTTCTGATAAAACTGAAAAACTTTTAAAATTAGCTTTTTCCTCTTGACTTGCCTTATAAACCTGCCAAAAGCCCTGAACATTATCCATACCACAACCTCAGTGTTGAACCACCCTGAAATTTCCACTACCAGATTAATTATTCAACTACTCTTAATCAAAGGCTCTCACACAGTCTCAGGACATAACCAAAATGTCATAAAATCTTCTGTCAGAGAATTGTACACATGGCCTAGAGTCCAGTTGCCAGTGGAGTCCTTCTTCCCAACTGAAACCTCCTGAGCTTGTTCTTTACTGGCTGTGTTACTATCAGCATTGTGGTCATCTGACCCCTGACTAGAATCTCCCACAAAACTCAGCTTACAACATTTTTAGGGCTGCTTCTCTAGGTAGAATCTCCAAACCTTTCCAAGCTCCTCCAGTGAATCACTTCCAAAAGCTTCTGATCCACATAGGTGGTCACAACAATGACTCCACTTTTCTGATACCAAAATCTTAATCACTTTCTCTTTGCTGAAGCACAATACCTCACACCCACAACTTAAAGGAGTAGAGGTTTATTTGGGTGCACACCTTGTGGAGGTTTCAGCTTTTAATTGGTTGGCTCCAAGGCAGAATGGCATGGCTGACAAGAATGCTCATGGCATGGGGGGAGAGGAAGGAGAGAATGACAGAAGCAGGTTGAGAGGGAGATAAAACCCACCAGGTCATTCCCTCATTGGCCCTCCTCTTCTGATCAGACCCTACCTTCTAGCAACAAGAGAGGTATAAGCCCCATAATCTAGTCAATCACCTTCCAAATGCCCTGCCTATAATTACATGAGGCTCTTGAGGGACACAGAGATATAATCCATAACAGTTATTCTAAGCAAAAGAAACCAATCACAGAAGACCATGTCATATATTTTGATTCTGTTTATATGGAATGTCTAGTATAGGCAAATCTCTAGAGACAGAAATTCAGTTAGTTGCTGCTTGGGATGAAATAGAGGAAAAAATGGGTGTAAGCCTGCTAAGACTATAGAATTTGGGGGGGGTAATAGAAACATGATAAAATTGATGGTGGTGAGATCTGCATAACTGGTGACAATTTTTGCATATAAAAGTTGTCAAATTACACTTTACATAGGTAAATTTTATGCACTGTGTATTATATCTCAACAAAATGGTTTTCCAAAAATATAGAGAAACATCACCACAATCTCTGCTCTTAGGAAATATTCTGCCCTCATTTTCCCTCAAGATTGAGTAAGATGCCATAGGAAGACACAAGAAGTGCACATAACCTTCACTTGGGGATAGGATCTTAGAATTTTCTCGAGAAAATAACAAGTTAGCTAATATGAGTAGAATAAGCAGAAGTTATTGACTAAAGAGAATAAGTAAAGAAAGGAGAATATTTCAAATGAAGGAATTTATATTGCTCAGGGATAAAGCAAAAGCAAGTGTGAAAATTTGAGAGATTAAAATAAATTCTCATAAAAGAGCTTAATATTAGGTAGGGTATGTCTGTCGTGTGTGCCAGGTAAGGCTGGAAAAACTATCATGAACAATCATGCAGATCATAGTAAAAATAAAAATGTGTATTATATCCCAGGAAAAATAGAGAGCTACTGAAGAGTTTTAAAAAGAAGGGAGACAGACATTGATAAGATATGGTTTTATATATGTACCACATTTGGATTTTTTTTACTTACCTAGTAGTTCTTGCATTCCTGTGCATATCCCTAAAAAAAAAAATAAAAGTAGCTCTACAAACATGTAAAAGTTAGAACATGTAACTTTTCCAATTGACAAATTGGAGAAATAATTTTTTTCTTCTTGCAATTATCTCTAAAAGTAAAGCCAAAAGACAATTGCTAAATAGCAACAAGAGCAAAATTAGAACACCTTTGCCAGACTGCAAGAATATTTGCAATTCTCTGTCAGATAAAAATTAATTTTCCTAAACTATAAACACCATATAAATCAATGAAAAAGAACGACTTTCTGTAAGAAAACAAACTCTAATAACAGAAAGCTCAAAGGAGTACAAACCACACAACAACTTGCTCAATTTCACCCTTTGTAGATAGTAGATAAAAGTAACTTATATATGTGTGTGTGTATGTGTGTGTGCATATATATATATTTATATATATATAAAATTTGACTAGCAAAACCCAGACATTAAAAACACTCTACACTGGCAAAGATATGAGTAAAAGGTATTCTTGGGCATTGCTGGTGAAAGTGAAAACTGGTACAAGTTCCACAGAAGGCAATTTAGCAAAAGTTATCAAATCAAATGCATTTTGATGTGGCAATTCAATTTCAGAATATTTATCCTATGAGCAACTCGCAGACATGCCAAAGACCTACTTATGAGACAGATTTTTAATTTAAAGTTATTTTTAATATGTAGAAACATAAAAATTGTACATATTTATGGGGCTCCATATGATATTTTGATACCTGTGTACACTGTCTAATGCTTAAATCAAGATAAGCATATCTATTTCCTCAAATACTCATCATTTCCTTATGGGGAAATATTCAAACTCCCTTCTTCTAGATTTTTAAAATTGTAGTACATTATCATCTATAGTCATCGTACTATTCAATAGCACAGCAGAATCTGTTGCTCATAAAATTGTAACAACATGCATGTATCACACGCTCACATCCCTACCTCTTCCCCTTCCCCTCACCCTCTGGTGACCTCTGCTCTACTCTTAACTCTATGATACCAGCTTTTTTGTAACCTATGTATGAGTCAGTTCATGTGGTACTTATCTCTCCATGTTTGGATTGTCACTTAACATAACAGTCTCCAGTTTCATCCAGGTTGTCACAAATGACAAAATTTCAATCTTTTGTAGCCGAACACTGTTCCATGGTGTGCATATATATTTTTGTTATCAGTTCACCAGCTGATGGACACTTGAGTTGTTTCTACTTCATGGTGAGTGTGCATAGTGCTGCCATGATCCTGGAAAGAAATATATATATATATGAGCAGAATTTCTGGGTTATGTGGTGGATCCCTTTTTACTATTTTGAGAAACCCTCGTACTGTTTTCCGTAATGGCTATACTAATTTACATTCCCATTAACAGTATGCAAAGATTCCTTTTCTCCACATCCTTGCCAGTATTTATTATGATTTTCCTTTTTAATAATAGTCACTCTTACTGGGATAAAGTGGGGTTTTTTTTAACTACAGTGTGCATTGTTGTTTTATTTGTACTTCCTTGATAATTGCCTATTTTGAAGTGAGTTATTTGGGGGGGTTTTCTATTGTTTTTGAAGACCTTATATATTCTGGCTATCACTCCTTTATGAGATGCATAGTTTGCAAATATTTTTCTTCCATTTTGTAGATTGCCTCTTAACTCTGTTAATTATTTCCTTTACTATGCAGAAGATTTTTATGTAATCACACCTATCTATTTTGATTTTTGTTTCCTATACTTTCTTGTCCAAAAAAAATCTTTGTCTATTCCAGGGTCTGAAAGGATTCTCCTATGTTGTGCTAGTATTGTTGTTTCAGTTTTAAATTCAACTCTTTAATTCATTTTCAGTTGATTTTTATAACTAGTAAGACTAGTCTCATTCTCCTACACATGCCTATATTGTTTTTAAAAACATTCTGCTTAAATAATCAAAGGGAGTTCTGTAGCATCTGACCACACTGATGAATACAGGAGGCATAGTATTTAATACAAAGAAGATATGTGGGCCACATTTTCCAGTAAACAATCTCCAAAGCAATTAAATTGCTACATTTTTTGTGTAATACACAATCTGGGATTAGGAAAGAGTCTTGGGAAGGTTTTTTTTGTTTTTTCTTTTGTTTTTTTTTTTTAAATCCAAGTGAAAAGGAAAGAAGACATCTGCAAAACAAACTATAATAGGAAGTTGTTTCCCCACTCCAAAAATGTCATGATAGATAGCTGTACCCTTTACTAGATTGAAGAAAGAGGAATAAAAATAGTAGTAATAATAAATCCTACATGCTTTACATATGATATAATATTTAAACCATAAAACATCCCACATAAAGTCTTAATTTTATATATGATGAAACAAAAATAAGAAAGCTTTACTTTACAGTAACTACTAGCTTTGAACCTGGCCAGTCAAGTTCTTTTCTTTTTTTTATTTTAAAAGAAAAAATAAATAAACATTAAAAACAATGGTAAAAAATTTCAAAACATGGTTGTAGGAGAGTAACATGGTTAGTACATTATGTATTGTTATCTTCAAAGTAGTTGCTCAAATTACATGACAGAGGCATGAAAAACTGCTCAAACAAAACAGGCATAAATATTTCTCTGTTACCGTAGCTATACTGCTAATTGCTATTAGTTCATTGAATTCTTTTCTTAATCAGTACATTGCATAACGTCTCTTAGTTTAAAAAGAAACCCTTAAACACAAAGTCAATCATTTAAAGTCATTTAACTGTCTACCAATTGTAGCTATGTTCATGAATGGAAATTGTATCCTTCTGACCTAAAGGACCACCTAGGGACTAGCAATGATACACAGCTTCTATTAAAGACAAAATGTGTGCCTTGGATGCCCTTTTAGCTTCTTACCATCACCATTAATGTCCTTGCAACACATCCAGAGAGTACGGGAGGCACATTACTACTAATTACCCCACTGTACCAAAGGACTCCCCGTGTACTCTCTACCTTTGCATCCATTAAGTTCAGGTGATTATTTTTGCCTGCATCAGTTAGTGCTGTTTCTTTCATTTGTAAATTCCTTTCTTAAAAACTATGTAAGGTTTAGATGTAGAAGGACTTAAGCTAAGGATGATAAAAGCAAAAAGCAGCCAGTCTATAAGAAGAAAATAATTCATCAAGAGTCTGCCACTCACACTTGTGTGTTTTCCAGTCCACTGGAAAACATCTTTAAAACAGTACCATCTTTAAAATGTATGTCCTAGGAGCCTGTAATAGATACTTTCCAAGGTGGTATGAAAAATGCAGGAATAGCTGGCTAATACATTGCTTATGCTGTCACAAAACCGGCAACCTAGTAGAAAAGATAGAACATGTTCAAAACTAAATATAATTCAAGTAGAAAATACATACCATGAAAAGGTATAAATGTATCATTTTTGACTAAGAATGGAAGCAGATAAAATGTTCCAGAGAAGTGCAAATCAGACGCGCAGAGCTGTACAGTGAGGGCATTCCAGATGGAAGGAGCACGGCACCGATAAACAAAGAGGAATAAAAACCTTTGAGAATGTGCCTAGGACAGGAAAGGCTGGTTTCACCATAAAAGATAGGAAGGATTCAGCGCAAATACAGTTTGATTTGTGAAAACATCCAGTGCCTGACTCTGGAGTCGGAATTTAATCATAGGAGCCACACTGATCTCAACCAGATGCGGATACACTGCATTCTGACTGTGTTCTGGCCCTAGCTGGTGCTCACTCAGCATTGCCAACTGCATCATTACTTATTATGACATATCTTTATACATTAGTAGAATTAGCGAAGTGGGCAAAGGAAATGGTCCATCAGTAAACAGATACGTTTAAATTTCAGTCCTTATATCTTATATTTATTCACCCTGACATGTGGAGTTTTAAGAATTATGTGACATGCATAATGCCTCTCAAAATATTCTCTTGATAGGTAACAAAGTTAAATGAGTCCAAGTGCTCAAAATAAAGAGCTAGATGTCCTCAATGCACACTTACATAAACATAAATCTGGGCTTTTTTTCATTTCTGTGCCCAGCATGAGGCTATTAGAACAGAGTTGTTTTATACATCATTAAATAATAATATTTATCCTGCAGAGTTAAACCATATTAATTGCATTTCTCATTTTTTGTATTGAAAGCAAAATGAAACAATGCAAAAAATGATAATCATTTTAAAGTTGTTGACTGTTCTATCCAAAATTCAATTTTTCTTCCTGAGTTATATTAACAATCTACATCCACTAAACAATAAAGTTTTAGACACTTGTTAGTTTAATCCAATACCTCTTGTAGAATGCATTAGAGGATCCTTAGTTCCCTAAGATTTGGAAGAAGATGTTTTTAATTACTATTTAAATTGTATGAGAAATTAATTTTGAAATTTAGTTTTTCTTTTCTAACGTGTCTTCTACCTGATGACTTTTCTTGAAAGAATTATTTTCCAGATGAAAAGTTACACCCAAAAAAAATGCTAATCATTTCTCACTTAGGAAAATGGAGGACATACATTGTTTGTGCTTTTTGTAATAAAAAATGGTTCTTGGATAAACACTAAGCTCAAAAATTTGTCACGTGATACACAATTTATATGCAGATTTTTCTTATTAAATTATTCAGTATAATTGAAAGATTATGACAGACAATTGTAAATTTTCCTTCTATACCTCTTGCTCTGAATAAATTAAGGTCCAAAAGTAGGATTCAAGTCAAAGTTCAAATGTACCTGTGCAAGAAACTAACTATGCCTTTATAACTAGTTGGGTGGAGCTGGGACACATTTAAAATAGTCATGGTAGCCTCCATCCTTCTGCTCCAAAAGTGAGTGAAACAATTCATGAACCCCAAGGCTGAAGGGCAGACAGAGCTTTCTTCCTATTTAGCCATCTAAACATCTTCCCAAGTCTGGTTCTCCTCTGTGAAATGATAGTGACACTAAAGGTAATTAGTTCTAGCTACAATGCTGTATCATTGGATAAAGCATTTATATGGTAAGCTTGTACATATGCTAGAACAAATAGTACCCATCATGAACCTATGGGTGTAGGTATAATATAATGTGAAATGCAAGAGGCTTGCAGCAAATGCATTCATTTCAGCAAAAATAGCTCCAAGGAAGCCTAACAATGTTTGCCAAGCAGCCTGGCATGGCCTAATTAAAATTACCATGGTCCAGGGTCTGGACCCCAGATTTAGGAGTTTCACAACTCTCATTTACTGACAGCAATAATCAGTGCATCATTACTTCTAAAAAAAAAAGCACCCTTGGTTGAAGATGTCACAGTTTAGTAATTTACTCCACGATCTAAATGGAAATAGGTAAAGAAAACAAAGAAGCTGCTATTGATCATAATGAGCAGAGCGATGCAAATTTGGCAGGACAAATCAAATTTGGTTGTAAAATGAAAACACTTTACAAGCCTGGTAGAGAGGTTGCCGTTGTTTGTGTGCGCAATGTCACTCTCATTAGCAAAGGTTATCTTGCAGCTCCAGTCTGTAGTATCTTATTAACAAAATGGAAAGTGAATATACATACTAAATTAAACATTTCACCTCTTCAGGGCCGTATCTGACAACTGTGTTTATCCATGCATTCACTCAGTTCAACAGTCATTTATTAAGCCTCTGCTGTATGGAAGGCAGCTTCATTTTGGGGAACACACAAAAAGTCAATACTTTCAGAAGCAGTTTAAATTTTTTATTGAATCATAAAAATGTAGATTACCAAGAAGATATACAATAGTGCTGCTATCTCTGGCTGAACTAGAATGCTCTTCATTCAGAACTGGTCTGTGTGCTGTGTTGTACACTCTGTCTCCATGCCCCAGCACCTCCACAGCCAGGGTGGGGGGCTCACCTTCCCAAGCCTCTACAGCTGCATTGTCTCTGTCCCAGAAAGAGACCCCTTCCCCTTTCACCAAAAACTGGTGTTTGCAGCTATTGCAGGAAGGAGGTTTGTTCTGAGGACTATATTAAGGTTCTGAATCAAAGTAAAGCAGCCAAGCCACCATTATCATAAAATAATATGATGAAATGAGTAATTTTATAGAATTTATAAAAATTGCCAGATAGCTGTGTCTTTCTCTTTACCTCTACTTATTTGTTTGCTGCCAATTGTTCAAGAGCAATTTAGAGCCCACTTCTTGCACAAAGAGCCTTCGTGTTCCTCAGCCAAAATCAAGTCATTTTGTAATATTCCTCATCCTGAGAAGGGTTGTGTTAAAGCTTTCTTCTCATAAAAGATACAGTGAAATGGTGTAGGCT